CCAGAACCACCTGCCACTAAATAAAAGCTGAGATCCCTCAAGCGACTTCTGGAGCAGTTCATTAGTTTATTAATTTATTTGTTCATTTATTGACTCAACAGATGTGAATTGAGGGCCATTATGAGTTTGACTCTATGAAAAGAAGTCCAACTGCTCAGGCACCTATGTGTCAGGCATCTCATTAACCACTTTATATAAATGATCTAATTTAATTTTACAACCACCACCCTGCAGATGGGTGGCATGATTCCCACGAGGCAGATGGAGAACTCAAGGCTCAGGCAGGAGTAGTAACTTGCTGAGCCAACTGGGAGCAGGATCCCAGTGCCCATGCTCTCTCTGTGTCCCATGCCTCCCTCTCATGCCACCAGGATGTCCAAGGCATAAATGGCTCAGAGAGATAAGTGAGAATTCAGGCAGGGCCAAAGGGCCCAGGGGACGGGAGCAGAGGGCTGGGGTAGGGGGCACTCACCATTTAGCAGCCAAGTGATCCGGGGCCCTGGGGTCCCCCGTACAGAGCACTGCAGCACAAAATCCTCGCCCTCAGTGACGGTGCAGTCCTTCAGGACACTGGAGAAGGAGGGGGCCACCTCCATCACAGCAAGCCCTGTGAGGAGGGAAAAGGACAGGCCAGCTCAGATCACAGCTTGCCTGCTCTGGTGATACCTTCAGTCACCCCAGCCTCCGAGGCATGCCTCACTGTCCTGGACACCTGGGTGTCTTTGGAAGCCTGGCTTTGTCTTATCTCTCTTCAAGCTTAGGAAGCAGGCAGCACCAGTGGTGAAGGGACCTGGAACCTGAAGCAGGGTCACTGGCAGGGGCTTTTCCACAGTCACAGAACATCCTAGCCCTGGGGGTGCTTAGGACCTGGGCGTGCATTCTCTCCTCTGTGACTCAGGTGTCTCCTATCTTGCCTTGGCTTTTGCCATCCGGGAGCCTCAGAGAGCTCCTTCTTCTCACCTGTTGGTCCTGCTTTACTTTCCAGTGTCTCGTCTCTTCTTTAATATGTCCCGTCAGTGATTACACAGTCTTGTGAATATCTTTTTACTTGTATAAGCCACAGGCTCACGGGTGAGGACATTTCCATTTTAAATTATTACAATGATATTTTTTTCCAATTCCAGAACTGAATCAAAGGACTCACATGAGTTCCAGTTTCCTAAGCACAGTTTGAGCCCCGTTCTAGGTCAAGGGCTCAGAGCTGCCGGGGACGTGGGAACAGGCACTAACAATGCCTTCCATGGCTTGAATGCACAGTCTAGTTGAGAACTGCTGAGCTGAGCTTTCCAAAAGCCTTCTACATCAGTGAATTAGGGGACATTTTCTAGTTTGGGGAGATTAAGAGAAATAGGGATAATCTCTTCTGTGACAAGCAGAACGTGCTGCAGATGTGTCAAGGTGGTTGAGAGCTAAGAAAAGGTAGAGCTGGATTTGGTTCTTAGAAGATATATCACTGGTGCTTTTCAAGAGAGCCTTTCAATACAGAGATGAGCGGAAATGCCATATTATACTGCAGGGGTTTATGGGCTAGAAAATTAGTAAGATTTGAGGGCCTACTATGTGCCACGTACTTTTCCAGATGGACGGTGACAATGCCCTGAGGTTGTTCTCTTGAGCTCATTTTACAGATGAGGTTACTAATTTCCCATAGCTGAACTCGATGGTGTAGCCAGGTTTTACAGCCAGTGCTGACTGTACAGCTGCACTTTCTCCTCCAGATCCCAGGGGAGAGGGTAGGTGATGGGAGGGCAGCGACAAGACAGAGTGATGGTGTACCTGGACAGGCCTGGCACTGAGGAAAGGTCAGACAGACCACCCGAAGCATGTGGGGAAGCACCCTCTCCACCCCTTCCCTTGGCTGGTGTTCAACTCCCTCATTAGAGAAATGCCTCCGGGAGTTACCAAAAGGATATAGGTTTTTATGCCAGGTCAATTTGAGGTAGAAATACACTCTTTTTTACAAGGCAAGTGAACTTGGATGAGTTATTTAACCTTACTAACGATCAGTGTTCTCATCTAGAAAATGGGTATGATTTTCTTGTAAGATTGTTGGGATAACTAAATGAAATAATTCAGGTAGAGCATTTAGCATAAAACCCAGCATAGCCCATCTTCCATGAGGGTTAGCTGCTATTATCAAGTAGAAGCCGTGCATAGAGACTCTTCTTGTGGCAAATACAGTCTAGGGATGAAAGAGAGGGAAGGGAACGATTTTCTTTCCTTTTTCAGCACAGGGACAACTAGCTCTCAGCACTTTGGGAGGCCAAGGCAGGAGGATCGGTTGAGCCAGAAGTTTGTAACCAGCCTGGGAAACACAGCAAGACCTCTGTCTCCACCAAAAAATTAAAATTAAAATGTTAGCCAGGCAGGTAGGCTGAGGCAGGAGGATTGCTTGAGCCCGAGAGTTTGAGGCTGTAGCAAGCTAGTAGAGCATGCTTGCAGGGAGAAAAAAGAGGTCTCTCAATAAATGAAGGAGAAAGACAGAAGAAGTGGTGGGAGAGTAAATCATTGTTAGCTCAGATCCTTGTGAAGATGAGAAGGGACAGAAAGAGAAGTCTTGAGAAGGGAAAGAGACAGGTATTCTGGAGTGCAGGAAAACAGAAAGAGAGAGGTCTATAGGAGGAGCTAAAAGATCACCCATCAGATGACCTGTTTCACAGTAAAGTCATCTGCCAACAATGAACTGGGATGTTTAGGAACGGGAGAAGTTTTAGAAAAGCTAGTGTCTTCATCAAGAAGACAGGATGTGGCACAGCAGAGTAAAGACCTCTGAAGGTCTCTTCTCCATAAAAGCAATAACAATAGTGGCAAAAAGAGTCAAAATCAATGGTTTCAGAATGCCAGAAATTAACCAAAGGCTCGCAACATTCTGAGGAGCATTCATTAAAAACAAACTTCCAGGTGTGGTGACTCATGTCTTTATTCTCAGCATTTTGGGAGGCTGAGGCAGGAGGATCACTTGAGCCAGAAGTTTGAAGCCAGCCTCGGAAACATAGCAAAACTCTTGTCTCCACCAAAAAATTAAAATTAAAATATTACCCAAGCAGGTAGGCTGAGGCAGGAGGATTGTTTGAGCCCAAGAGTTTGAGACTGTAGCAAGCTATGATTCTGCCACTGCACTCCAGTCTGGGTGACAGAGTGAGACTCTGTCTCTAAAAAGAAAAAACAATAAACAACAACCAAAAAACCCAAACAACAACACCCCTCCAACCCCCCAGCTGAATCTTGGTAAGAACAGCAAGCTTTGTGGCATTTTCACTCTTGTCCCCCCTTGCCCCAGCTCTGGGGTAGCTCTGAAACCAACAGTAACTTGTGAAAACCAGCCACTTAGCAAGGGGTGGGATGGGTTCCAAGCTCCTGAAAAACTCCACCCCTAAGAGAAAGGTCGCTATTTGCCCTGTCTGGCAGCTCCTTCAATAGCTCAATTTTCAGGGTTTTCTTTATTTAACCTGACTCAGAGTTTATCCTGTGTGAGTGGCCCCATCTCCAGGGTGTTTGTTAAAACAATCAGTAGCAATTGTTTAATATTAAAGCTCCTTGAGACAGCAGTATTATTCAGGGCTAACAAGAGTCTGACCAAAAAACTTAAAAGAAAAAACTGGGGAATGAGATGTTCAGGGCTTTAAAAAGCTCTGACAGATTCCTGAGAACTGAGAAGGCCACATGGATGTGCAGGGCTGTGAGCCTGCCCAGAGAGGATGTAAGAAGGGCCTCCTCTCTCACTTCTGGCTGACTTGGAGCTTCAGTGCAAGCAGAAAAGAAAGGCTAAAGCCGACTGGAGCACTGGTGTACATGACACACACACAGAGCTCCTTGGCAAAGGCTGGGAAAAGCATTAGTTCAAGGCATTTAAGGAACTCTTCATCCAACCAACTAGCTGATCACTAAACTAATTAAGCAGGGACTTCTGTGGCCACACATGACGAATGCTCCAGCCTTTACAGAACGGGAGAGGATTACTGTAAATCATGTCTGGTAAAGAACGTGTATCCAGAATATATAAATAACTCTTACAACTTGACAATAAAAAAGTGAGTGACCCAATTAAAAAATGGGTGAAGTATTTGAACAGGCATTTCTCCGAAGGAGATACAAATGTCCAATGAGTACATGCAATGACGCTCAAAATCACTAGTCACCAGAGAAATGCAAGTCAGAACGGCAGTCAGGCTGGGTGTGGTGGCTCATGGGATTACCCAGCACTTTAGGACGCCAAAGTGGGAGGACTGCTTGAGTGAGAAGTTTAAGACCAGCCTGGGCAACATAGTGAGACCTTGTATCTACAAAACTAAACAAGATTAGCTGGGTGCTGTGGCATGTGCCTGTGGTCCCAGCTATACAGGAGGCCTGAGCAACATAGTGAGACCCTGTTTAAAAAAAAAAAAATCATAGTCAGCTGATTGTGAATGGCTATAATTAAAAAACAGAAAACAGGCTGAGTGCAGTGGCTCATGCCTATAATCCCAGTGCTTTGGGAGACTGAAGTGGTAGGATCACTCAAGTCTAGGAGTTGAGAGTAGCCTAGGCAACATAGTGAGACCCCCATCTCTACAAAAAATAAAAGAAAAATTAGCCAAGTGTAGAGGCAAGCACCTGGAGTCCCACCTACTCAGGAGGGTGAGACAGGAGGATTGTTTGAGCCCAGGAATTCAAGGTTACAGTGAGTTCTTACCATGCCACTGCACTCTAACCCCACTGACAAAGCAAGACCTTGGTTTGTTTGTTTGTTTGTTTGTTTGTTTTTAAAGGCAAGCAAACAAGCAAACAAGAAAATAAGTATTGGTGAGAATGCGGAAAAATTGCAACACCTGTACATTGCCAGAAGAATGTAAAATAGTACAACCACAATGGAAAACAGCTTGTCAGTTCCTTAAAAGGTTAAATCTAATCTAGAATTACCTTATGACCCAACAATACATGTGGTCTAAATCTCAGAATTGAAAACAAGTATTGAAAACAACTTATACATAAATGTTCATAGCAACACTTTTCACCATAGCTAAAAAGTGGAAACAACCACATAGACCTCAACTGACGCATGGATAAACAAAACATGGTATATCCATATGATGCAATATGATTCAGCCACATGGATGAATGAAGTACTAACACCTGCTACAACATGGATGAGCCTTGAAAACATTAAGCTAACAGAAAGAGGCCAGACACGACAGGCCACGTATTGAATGATTCCACTTAACCTCAAATGTTCAGAAGAGGAAAACCCATAGAGACAAAAAGCAGATTAGCAGCCATCAGGGATTGTGGGGATGGGAAAACAAAGAGTGGTGGCTAATGAGTAGGATTTTTCGGGGAGGGGCAATGAAAATGTTCTGATATTAGATGATGGTGATGGCCACACAACTTTGTGAATATATTAAAAGCCACCAAATTGTACACTTTAAAAGGGTGCCTTTTATGTTATATAAATTATATCTCAATAAAGCTGTCACACAAAACACAACAAGATAGGGAATCAACCTGAGATGAATTACCCCATGATGTGAACAGGCTAAAAATAGTCTTCTACGAGACTTAGATAAATCCACAGCAGAGGAAGCCACAGGAGAATCTAGGCCTGCTGGTTACACCATTAACCTGTGGTGGACCCGACACCATATTTCTGTTCCCTGCACAGACAGAGACCTGGCCTGGATGATAAGCCTTGATCTAGACCTGTGAACTCTGCCTACCAGCTCTCCCACCTCCAAACATCATGGATAATATTTCTTGTAAAGGAATTCATAAGCATAGTAAAAACCCCAGTTAAACAGTGAATCAACAGTATACAGTGAAAAATAAGACCCCCCCATTCCTTCCTGTGGACCACCAGCTTCCCCTTCCTAGAGGCACTTGTGTGCCTTTCCAGAAATGATTTATGCACACGTAGGCATCTTTTCACATGTGTGTACACAGATCTTTTCTTTCTTTTATACGTGAGCCTGTACTTTGCTCCTGTCCCTTCCTAGTGCATCTTGAACATGTTTTAGCATCAGAGTCTACAGGATGCATGGCATTCTACTATGTGGATACATCATTATTTTTTTTCTTTTGTAATTGTGCATTACGAAAATTTTCAAACATACACAGAAGTAGACAAAGCAGTATAGTGAATTCCTATGTACCCATCTCTCAACTTTCATTTACATCAATATTATTTCACTGGTACTCCTGCCAGTGCTCCCCAAACATAAATCATTTCTAAGTCAAATGTAAGAAACCATATCATTTCACCAGTAAATAAGTCAGGATGTATCTCTAAAATAAATGAACATATAAAAAAAACATTAACAAGACCACCATCACATCTTAAAACACCACGAATTTCTTTGTATTAAATCTTGTCAGTGTCCAAATTTTCTCGATTTTCCCATAAAAACTTTTTAAAGATGATCTCAGTCAGGATTGGTACAAGATTATCAATAATTATTACAGTTGTTGATGTTACTTACATACCTTTTAATCTAAGTTTTCTACAGGTTCTCTCTCTTTCTCTCTCTCTCTCTTTTTTTTTTTTTTTTGCTTGCGATTTATATGTGGAAAAAAATGGGTGGAAATTATTTGTCCCCTAGTTTCCAGCAGACTGCAATTTGCTGACTCTCCTCTTGTGGTATTGGTTAATCAATTTCTCAAGGGTATGACATGGTCCTAGGGCCTACATATGCATTTAGAATAAAGGGGAAATTTTACAGAGATAGACAGGTACAAGAATATTTATCATAGGTTTGTTATAATAGTGAAAAATGGAAACAATTTAACTATTCAACAAATAAGTTCACCATACAATATTATATGGCTACTAAAAGTCACGCTTTCAAAAAATTGTACAGAAAGATATTAATGTCACATGAGCAACTTAGGACAGAAAGCAGCATACAAATAGCACAATGGTAAGTTTGTATAAAAAACATTAAAATATAATTTTTTCTGAGTCATAAGATTATATATTGTTTAAATTTCCCACAATGAACATGCATTACTTTTATAAACAGACAATACAATAAACATAAAAGATGTGGGATCCCACACCATCTCAGATTACCCTAAACCTGTATATTTAATGAACACTCGGTTCTCTGTGGTTACAAACCTGAGTAATGGCACTGTTCAAACAGCTGAGGGGCCTAAGAAAGGTAGCTCTGAAGTGGGCTGGGAGTGGGGCCTGGCATGTTTACTTTGAGGTGATTCTGATGTGAACTCCTGATTATGAATCACTGGCCTGGAGCAACATATGTGGCCTTGGCATGTGGTTGGGGGTAACCTTTCTGTCGGGTTGTGCACCAAGGCTGGGGGCTGTAGGAGATGAACCATCTGCAGTAGGTGAAGCACCCCATGAATGGCCGTCCCACAGAGAATGCAGGGTGACCCAGAGAAGTGTACTCACTTTCCACTTGGAGGGTCCAGCTACAGGACACCTGGCCTTGGGTGTTGGAAGCAGTGCAGCTGTATGTCCCACTGTCCCTGGTCCGGACTCTCAGCAGGCAGAGGTAATGGGAGCCAGCATCTTCGTAAACCTCAATGGTGCCTCCCTGTCTCCTCACAGGGGCACCTTCCAGGAACCAGGCCACTTCAGGCTTTGGGATCCCTGAAACTAAGGGCCAGGTGAAGAACATGAGCCCCGCACTCCCTGGAGAGCACCCCATGCTTGTGAGGTAGGTGGGGAAGGCATGGCCTGGAGGAAAGGACTTGGTTCCATGTGGAGCTGCCCTCCCACCTCTGTCTGCTTCCTCACTCTCAACCACACTCTACGAGATGAAATCACCTGAGACAGAGTCAGGGCCTTGGGGAGGAGGAATACAGGGTGATGGGCCAGGTCTCCAGGTCGGCCAGGCAAGGGGAAGAAAGTGGAAGAGACTGTGAGGTTTGTTTTTTGATGCTGGCGATGATGAGGGTGTTTCTTCTAGGGTGGTAAGAACTAGGGCCCAGGGCCAGTACTCTTATCCAGTAGCAAACAATAGGCTGCCGTTAGGGGTCTCTCCAGAATAAAGGGACATTTCTACAGTGAGTCCAAGGCCCCTGTAAGGTGGTTTTCTAGGTGAGCTAGTCCAAGAACATGAGTGGATATAGGAGGTGCAGACCAGCTGGGTGCTGAAGGGAGTGGCCACCAAGGGGCTACATTCTGGCAACTGGTGACCCTAATTAGCTCTACTCACCTTCACACCTGAACTTGACAGTTTGATTTTCCCTGACCTCCTGGCTTTGGGGCTTGCTCTCAAATTTGGGGAATGCTGCATCCCTCTGGCCCTCCAGCGGGATTCTCCTGGTAGCAACTTTGCTCGCAACGTCTTGGCTTCCCAGGCCAGGCTGCCTGGTGGAGAAGGTGGCTGGATGGGGAGCAGCTGGCCTCTTCCTTTCTTCTCCAGAAGGTGATAGGGCCCCCAGGACTGGTGTTCTTGGTTCCGGCTGAACGCTTGCGGCCTGCAGGGTGATGGAGCTGGAAGTCTTCTGGAGGTCTGGGGTTTGCGGGGCTATTCTGGGCGAGTCCCTGTATGACTCCAGCTTGGACTCCCTCAGGGGCTTAGGCTGGTGTTTTGGGGCCCAGGCTGGGGAGCCACCTCTCTGGGGACTGGAGCAGTTCTTGCTCTTGGTTGCAGCCTCCAGACTGTCCAGTTTCGACGCCTTTGAGATTGTACTGGTCACCTCCCTCCTGATGTCTGAATCGGTGGCTTTCGTTTCTCTCCCAAGTGATCTGTGTGTGGTGGAGAGGGTGAGGAGAGGGGAGAATAGAATGATCATCTGGTTATTCACAAACATGACTCATCACAAGCACGGGTTCCAGGGATCACAAAAGCTCCCAAGTTAAGAGCAAGTAAGAGCATCTTTCTCTGCAGTTTGCCCAGTTCCCCAAGCCAGAGCACAAGCAGTCGTTCCCAACATATCCCTGTCCTGCAGCCCTGCCCAGAGCCCTGCTTTCCCTACACTTCTCTTCTCCACTGGTGCCTCCCTAGTTCAAACCCCACCACCGGTGTCCCATGTCCACTCTGCCCTCTCTAATCTATTTTCTATACAGCAACCATAGTTGATTTTTGAAAACATAAATCATGTCATTTCAAGCCCAAGGATTTTCCAACAGTTTTTCCACTACATTAAGAATGAAAGTGAGCCCCACGAGATGGCCCACAGAAATGGCAGCTCTGGCTGCTCCTGACTCGTACAATACCCTGTCCCACCACCCACTAGGCTGCGGCCACACTGGCGTCCTTCTGGGTCCCATGGGCCTGCCTCTTGGTTCACAGCTTGTATACGCTATCCCTGCTGTTTGGCGCACACTCTCTGAGCTTAGCCTCACCAGCTAACATTCCTCTGCACAGGTCTGAGCTCAAATGCCAAGTTCCTCAAATGGCTTCCCTGCTCCTCTATTCTCATCAGCGCCCTCCTGGAACAGACGTTTTCCAGTTGGTAACGTGCATTTGTGTGGCTCTGTCTAAGCCCTCCTCTACACCAGGGAGTCTGCCCCCCGCCCCCCCTGCACACCCAGCATATAGCACACAGGAAGAGGTTCCTGCTGGGTCTGGGCTGGATGGGTGAACAGATTCTGCCCTGGAATGAGGAAGGCAGCCTTGTTAGAGCAGTCAGGACACTAACCAGGGAAGAGACTGCGTAGATGCTGAGAAAGGCGGTGACACTGAGTTTTCCAGTCTCAATACCCGTGTGTCATATTACAATAGGAGAACAAGACAAAACACCCAGAATTAA